CTGACCATTAGTCTGTGATGAATGAATAGATTTGTTACAGTGGCGTTCTGAGGCTCAGATTTGGTCCGACTCTCTGACTCACTAAAATCCTGCCAGGCGGGGAAACCTAATCATGCGACTCCACCCTCCCACCCACCTGACACAACCGGTACACAACACAGTGAAATTTGTCAGCACAATTCAAACATGAATGACTCTCCTCGTCTGGTGCTTCAGGTAACGTGACTTTTTAACAACACCAGACTCTTTGTCCATGAAATGGAATGTTTTCAGTAACTACATCAATGTAATAAATTACAAATGTAAATACATTTACAGATTAGCAACTGTAGCCTGCTGCACATACAAGTAAATAAAGTATGGTACCTGAAATAGGTCTGCATCCCTAGATCTTTAACAAAAATAATGTTTTTTCTGCATGAAATAACTGAACTTTTTGTGTAAGTCTTCAACTGTGACAAATGACGTAATGACGAAATGTCATAAATGTTTGAAATATTCACAATTGTCAAAATGTAAGGTAACTAAATCAATGCATTTTTTATAACTTTTGACATTTCATCTCTGCTCAAGAATGCACTCACCTTGCAGGAGTGTGTGCATGTTGTCACCAAACTGTGGAACTCCTTCATCTTCCGCCTTTGCCAAAACAGCACCACCATCACCACCACCTCCTGAAGCCATGGAGTTTCCAACTGCAGCACAGAGTCGATCTCCGGGGGGTGTGTGTGTGGGGGCTGGGGGGTCAGGTGACAGGAGTCAGTGAGTCATCAACACAGACAGATCCCCGGTACCAACCCTGCAGAAAGTGAATACACTGGTGTTAGCAGGTTTCCAACAATAAATGTGTGTTACCTGATTAGTCACTCTAAGAACACACCCTTCCACACCCTCACTGTACCACACACACAGATACAAGTACACACATGCAAATACACAGACGGAGAGCTCACAAAGCAGATAAGAACACGCTCTAGAGGAAGAGACCGTAGAGAACTTTAAGATGGCGTGGCCACAAACACACACCTGCAGCAGGAGAGCGTCATCAGACACCACTGAGAGCTACTTATCCCACAGTAGCAGTTATGTATGTAGTACTGTGTGTACAGCTGTGTGTACTTCCACACCGGCACAGCCCTGCATCTGCTGATCTACTGTGTAAGACCTAAGCTTAAAAACAAGGTGTCTCTTCCTCAACCTGGTGCCAGTACAACGCAGAGTGAAAGGCCCCGCCCACTGCTTCTCACGGTCGGCTAGAGCTAAACACTCCTGTGAGTTCTCACACAAACCCGGCTGTGAGGCACTCGTACCCCAGAGGAAATCACTGCTCACATTAGACTGTTGTTTTTTTGTGAGGATTTGGTAGATCTGCTGCTACAGAACACAGATAAACAACGGTTTATTTTTGTCTTACCTTGATAAACTCCTTGTATGCTGTTGATGTAGCTACGCAGCAAAAACACAGACAGTCACAGATACTTTCACTCTGATGCATCCATGGAAACAGTCTCAGTTTTCTACCGAGCTTCCCAGAAACTGCAACACTTATTCAGGGATGCTTTCACTTTCACTTTGGTTTTTTGTTTTTTTATTACAATGTGGTACAGTTCACAGTAGCTCCTAATAAGATTCTAGTCCTGTTTAATATGACTACCATGTTGAAGAGCGAACAAAAAAAAAAACTCTCTCGATGTTTTAGTGGAAGGAAACAATTGTTGATTGATTCTTTCAGTTCTCAGAGTTTTTCCCTAAATTTGGTCAAAAGACTACACTGGTAAACATAAAAATTCACATAAAAATCCCAAAACTGTTGTGCCTGTCCTTTGGTGGACTTTTCCTACTGACAATAGTCTGTGATTTTGGACAAAAGATATATGTTGTATTTGTGTAGATGAATTTAATAAATACATAAACAAGTGCAGTATTGTTTTCATGTTGTATACATTTTTCATAAACTATCATTCTTTAAAAAAAATACAACACAACCAAGTCATTGAGATCTACATACATAAAAAACAATCTGTGTGTAATCAAAGTTTCTTCTAAAACATGATGTAAATACAAGACATTACGTGTACTTTTGTATTACTTACCTTTGAAGTCGCTGTTTTCTTTTTTCAATCTTGATTGTATTTTATATTCTATTCCCCCAATCTTGATTGTATTTTATATTCTATTTAGTTGAGTCAAAACCCCCAATTTGTACAAGGATGCCTGGAATGCACTGCATTGTAGCGTATGTCCATTAGTTGGTGCTGTGGGCAAAAACGTAGCTGCAGTGGTTTGGAATTTAGAGAAGAAAGAGACTTCCTCCTCCACGACTTTGACGTCTAGCGGTAGCTACTGTCCTGACCTTCCTGCGGCGTGGAAAAACTCAAAGGTACAAAAGAGCCAGCATTTATTTATGTGGAATTTCCGCACGTAACGCTTAAAACCTACGAACACTACACACAACAGTACTGACTTTTAAATTTACAACTGCTGTATGTACGAATTTTGCAGGGTACTGAGCATGTTAGCTCAGCTTTTTGCTAAGGCTAGTTAGCCTTATCTCTTTCATTTGCCCAATGGACGATGCTAACATGCTAGTTAGCTTCGCTGTTTACAAATTAGAGATGTTCGTTTCGCCTTAGCCTAACTTGGTATATGTGCGTTGTCTATAACAGAAGTCTTTACCTTTTTTTGACATACGTCCTGTATCTTTACTCTGCTCGTTGACAAACATCTGATGTTAATAGCGACCGAATCACAAGCGACGGAGTTGCTGCTATCCTGGCTGAACTTAATGAAATTAACGGTTATGAAATAAGGTTAGTTACTGGAGACGCCCATTGTAAACGGTTTCAGGGCAACTGAGAATGTAGAGAAATTGGATTTACGTGGCCTTTAAAAACCTTAAACTCCTGTCCCTTTTCCTGACCTTATTGTAGTCAGCGGTCACTGTCAGCTCGTTATGATATAATAGTGGATTATATAATATACTTAAATCGTTTAGATCTGATTACGTTAGATTTATTTATCGTGCACTGCGATATTAAAATAGTCAAACTGTCTTGAAGAAATAACGAAGAAATAATTATTTCTGTCTCTCCCCCGTTATTTACTGCAGGGGGTGGTATAACTGCAGTTTCAATAACCATGACTTAAGTGTGCTGATTGAGTCACCAGGGGGTGGTATAACTGCATTTTAACTAACCTGGTCCATGACTTAAGTGTGCTGATTGAGTCAGTAAAGTTACCAAAAGACGTGTCATATATTTAGCTCATCTCCTATTGAGTCTACTATTACACTAAAATGAGTCTACTGGGTACACACTGGGTATAAATCAGTCAAAAATAAAGGTTGAATACTGCTCTTCTACATTTCCGAAGCCAATTAGGTCTCAAGCATTTAAAAAAAAAAGTCAGAAAGCGGTGTTGCTGCAGTTCAACTCACTGCCATTTGTTTTTAATTTCTTGAGTCATGTCTCTACCAAGGTTGAATGACAGTGAACCTGTGCTTGCACTTGCAGATGACAGGTGGTTTTTTTGCAAACTGGTGGACCCAGATGCGACCTTACGCAAGGTTGTACGCGGACGTGTGGCCTGGAGTGGCCCTCGTGGGTTACCTTTACTACAAAGTCTCCTATGGTGGTGAGCTTAAGATCAGTAGTGTTTTTCACAGAGAATAGAGAACACATGAAAAAAGAATTAAGTAATTTGATGGTAATTTTGTTTTTGTTTTTTTCCCATGCCAGGCAAGAAGGCAGTGAAGGACAGTAAGTACATTTTTAGGTGGTAGGTCTTTTCAGTGACGCTCATTTACGCTGCACCTCTGAAATGATCTTATTGTGTCTTTTTGCAGAACCCTCCCACTGAGGTCTCCTCCCCTGGGCCCTGCTGTGATATAAGAACCCTGCGCCGAAGTCCAGCTTCATTGTCTGATTTATTTTTTGTTAATATGGAACAAATAAAGTTATTATTCAAAATCCAGAATTGTTTTTCATTTAGGTGGACGACGTCCAATCTAAAACACTTCCAGAAGGTTTTAGTTCTGGAAAAAAACTGTCCTGTGAGTGAGTAAGTTATTCAAGCTCCAGACTGTCCTGTGAGTGAGTGAGTAAGTTATTCAAGCTCCAGTTTGGGTTTATACTTTAACTTTTACGATTAAACTACAATGAACCTATATTTAGAACTGAGCGAGTGTGTTTCAGAAAACCAGACATTACTAATTTAACCAAGTATTTATCAAACGGACGAACGGCGTGATTATGAATTGTAGACCCGGGCTGACTCACTCTGTTCTCCACAAATGACGTGCTGTGGAACAGACTGCCTACTTTGGCAGAAGCAGAACTGATATTCTGACAAAATCTAGTCAGAAATAACTGAATATACTGTGTGGTTTCTGATAATAATGATGTGGTAACTTGGACGGTGTTCAGATGTTCAACATCACATGATTTGTGGTGGGTGTTTGAATCTAATTTGACTCATTTTGTGGACACTTGTTTTCAGTGAGAAGTTATAGTGTGTGCTCTTTTAGGGTTTTTTTTTCCTGTAGTACCGTCAAACTACACAGAGTTAGAAGACAGTTGAGACATTCAGCCCATTTTTTCCACCTACGCAAGTGACTGGTTAAACGTGTGGACAAAGCGGTTTAATCATTAATGGGCAAAACCACCAAGTTCTTAGCAGGTTAAATGGAAAAACCCTAACAGTATGACATCGTCATTTTTGACTCCTGTAAATCTGTTAGTTGAGTAAAAATCCTGCCAATACTAAGATAAAACTTTGTTTTTTTTCACAACCTTTAAACATTTGTTGACTATATGAAGAGAGAAAATAACTGGCAGCAATACTGATGAATGAATTATATGATTATATTACGTATATATTAAGTTCCTTTTCCAGTTGCCAGCTCTGAACATTAGAGACCACAAGTGGGACCCGACCCACATTTTGCGAAACCCGTTTCTGGTCCAGTTCTCGCTTCCACTCTCTCTCTCTCTCTCTCTCTCTTTCTCTCTCACTCACTCGCTCTCACCCACTTACATTCAAACATGGCGAAACTCTGCCTCACTCTGCCTCCACACTCACCTCTCTCCTCCACTTCTCCATCTTCTCGCTCACCATCACCTTCACCATCCGCACCCTCATCCTCACCAGCGCCGTTATCTCCGGTACCGTGATGACCCGCGACGATGGACAAGTTGTCCTCCAGCCTGTCGGAGATCACTTGGAGCCCGGTGTCGCTGCCGCTGGACGCGGTGGTCAGCAAATTCCGTCTGCCCACTCTGGTTCGTCTGGCTCACGGTAAGACACAGCCTTCCAGTCGGAGCCTCCAGCGTCGAAGAAAACAGTGAAACAAAGAGACAGTTCTTTAAAACAAACAAACAAACAAAACATTTTAAAAAACTTTTTCGGTTCTCTTATCTTTTCTATCTTAACAACTGTTCGCCTTCACTGCTCTGATCCACAGTCGGGGTGGGGGGGAGTCGTTACTTTAACGATGATGAATGTGATTAGAAATGCGTTCAAATGTTGTGCTGCAAATTGGGGTTTGGTGTGTTTTCGTGCATAAACGTTGCAAAAAAAAAAATTTAAAAAATAAAAAACATTGTAAGAACAAGTGTAATAATTTACAGAAGTCTGTGAAGCGGTCCGTCAAACTGTAGCGTTAAAACACACGATTCCGGTGCAAGTCTTTCAAAAACAAAAGTACGCGCTGCAAAGAAAAAATCTTTAAAAAAACCAAAACAAAACAACGTAAAAACGCCTCTTTTTTAAAATTAACCTCAACCAGCTATAGTTATATACTGTTTTTATTTAAATAGAATAACGATGTCAACATTCTGTATGGATTTTAACATTGGTGATTAAGACTTAATATAAGACACAGTTTAACCTGCTGCATCAATGAGAAAAAAAACATTTGAATACATTTATTTTTAATGTAAATTAAAATGTCCATCAGTAATGAGTTCATAATTAATGATGTCTGTCAAATTAATTACTCATCACATTTACATATTTATATATGAATGTTAAAAATGTGAAACTGTAAAAGTACTGGACTTAGAACAACCCTATAATGTTATTCAATAATCTTCTCATGACTTAGATCAACCCTATAATGTTATTCAATAATCTTCAGGTCAAATGAGTCCAACTGTGAGAATTAAAAAAAAAAAATTTAATTATACGTGACCTAGCGCTGAACGCTCATGCACTTATTTTGAAAGAGACCCCGAATTTATTTCCGTTATTTCTTCTTAAATCTTTCTGCCTTCATGCAGCTGCACAGTTTATTCCCATGACACGGACTTTTCGTGGCTACATAGATTGGAGGAGTTTATTGATCATTTCCAGTCCCTTTTTGTGACACATTTGTGTCTCGTTTGTCAACTTCCGCTCGTCACCTCTGATGTGTTTTTAATGCTGGGAACTGGCTGCCGATGGATGTCGCGGCCAAAGTTGTTCCAGTCCAGCGAGGCCTGGAGGCAAAGCCACAAAGTGTCTGTTGTTGCTGCTAAAGTGTTGCTCAATTCTTTTCATATGTAAATGTGTAATCTGTCGGTGAATGTGCTGAATACCAACGAGCAGGAGAACCCTCAGCTTTTCCTCCTACGAGGTCGCCTTGGTTCCCTTTCTGTTCCCAAAGGTTCCCAAGTTCCTCAGCATTTACGCACCTTACGCACCAGTCAGACACAAGGCGGCGGTGTTGTCACCTCCCACCCCGGCCACAATGTCGTACATCAGTTTGTTCACTCACTCAAATGGTAATTAACAACTAGCTTAGATGACAGCATTCTCTGCCTATAATTATAAATTATATTTATATATAAAATATATAAATTCTATAGTGGCATTTTCATTGGTTTTCATAAACATGACTTGTCAACTGATGTCAATACCGATATTAATATTTTTAAAAAATCCAAAAAACGTTTTCCTACCACATATCACCCGCACCGTCCTTGAAAGGATTGCGCACCACCTGTTGATTACATCCATTTACAGAATCACTGTAAAAAGATAGGGTAAAGTTACTGAGGTAAAACATAGACATTTCTTAAGAGTTAAAGTAGACAAGTATTTTCTCCGTTGATTTACAAAGACATCGTACCTTTACGTACACTCTCGGAGACACGGACCTCCTGTTGGTGACCTCTGTGCTATAGTACAGCTCAAAGTTACAGTGAAAGTTAGAAATAATTAATATTTGAGAGAATGATTATTATGATCATTTCTGAATTTACAAACAGCAGGCAGCTTTGTCCTTCTCCCCTGTAGGGGGTGCTACAAACAAACAAAGATGGACACGTAGGTCAGGCGTGTAACTAAATCAAATAACTAGAAAATGTTACTTTGTATGTCACCAAAACGTTTTTTTTTTTGTCATCTTCTTTCATTCACAGAGGTATCGACGTCCCATCTACTTCGAAAAGTACTGCGTGGCGACCGATAAAACGAGCGAAATGCAGTAACTTTGAACAGTCAACGTAAGAGAGATAAAGTTAGACTAGCAGGAGTCTGTGCTGCAGTACATCAGCAGAAATCAATGTCGTTGTGCTACACCATGGCTCGCTGGAAAACTCTGTGTGTGTGTGAGTGTGTATAAGTGTGTGTGTGCAGTTGTGTATGTGTGTGGGTTGTGTAATTGCAGGTTGTCGAAGGCAGAGCTGGGTCATGATTAGTAGGTTAGGTGTGCTGAAGCATCACTGATGCTGGTAATTACCAACACTGGATCCTGGACCGCGTGTGTGTGTGTGTGTTTTTAGTGTTTTCCGTGTCTGAGCCACAGGCTGAGGCCTGGAACTAAAGACCGCTGGACTTTTCTAGAAAGTTTCTCTTTATCCTAAATTCACTGTGTGTGTGTGTGTGTGTGTGTGTGTGTTCAGGTGAATGCGTGGAGGGTCTGTCAGAGGAGGATGTGGTTCTGCTGCACTCCTGCCGTCAGTGGACCACGGTGACGGCCCACAGCTTAGAGGAGGGACACTACGTCATCGGACCCAAGATTGACATTCCTCTGCAGTATCAGGGTGAGTGTGTACATACATAAACACACACACACACACACACACATACAGCAATACCACCGTCATAGAAATACCAAAAATATTTGTCCATCAACTCTACAGAAGCTCCATTACCAAGTACAGGGCCCAATACTTCTGCTGAATAGTAATACTTCTTGAAGTACTTGTGTTTAGATTCAGGGACCTGATACTCTGTAATGACTTGTTTATTTACGACAAGAATCACTGTGAGATTGTATCTTCTCAGTGTAACAACACTGTGGATCGAGGAGGAGTTTTTCGACTCCTCATATTTGTCCTTAAACAGTAAAATAAAACACGGAACAATTACTAAATCTGTAGTGAACACACACACACACACACTTACACACATACACTCCCCCTCCTCCCCCCCAGCACTGACCTTGCCCTCCCTCTACTGCCCATTCAGTTTGATTTCTTCCTTTTTTTTCTGAATGAGTCTGGTCTGTATGACCTCATCGGCGCTCATTCTCACGATCCCATTGTTCCGGGCCTCCATCCATCCATCCGTCCATCCATCCATCCGTCTGTCTGTGTAACTGGATCTTAATGTCTCCTCTCCGTTGCTTCCTCCACTGATGGATGGCTGATGTTACCTCACACTACTGCCGCTGCCACCGCTGCCGCCGCCTCCCCGGCTCCTTTTCCTGGAGAGGAAAATGAATTATTGCAGAGGGGGGTGGGGGGGGAGAGGAGGGGACGCTGACATCATGGTCGATTAAGACACTTTATCACAGGGAGTGTGTCATCGCTAGTCCTGCTGAGGAAAGAAGAAGCTGGAATAGTCATATTAAAAGTACACACTTTTGTACCTTAGCACGTCTACACCGTTGAATATAGCTGTAATTTGGGGATTGAAAAAACAGTAAACACTAATTTGGGCGTCGAGAGGGGACGCTTGTTGTGTTCCTTGTGTCCGGCCCATTGTGTCATTTTGCAGTATCCAGCCCACGGGCCACAGTTTTCCCATGCTTGTTCTTAAATGTTAATATGTGGGGGTGTGTAAGTGGGGGTGCAGTTTCTTTTTAGTTGCTTTTTGGACCTAGAAAAGTGCTGATGTAGAGGTGACGGGAAGTGGAGGTCATGTGTGACTCACACAGAGAGAAGTCTGATTTCTGGCACCCGTCTAAGAATCTGTTGCAAAAGAACTGGTTTTAATACTGTTTGTGTCTCGTCATGCAATAGCGTTGGTTTGGAGATTAAAATGACCTCAGTGCTGACAACAATCAGTGTGGATTTATCCCAACAGCAGTATTAAAACCTCTATTTGTCTTTCTTTAAGTTCAACATCTGAGCTGTTGATGTTGTTGTTGGTGAATCAGAGGACACGTCCTGTGATGAGATAATGTCTCCACGATGACTTCATACAGGAAGTCCAAATAAGCTTAGGATGAGAGCAATATAGGTGTCTCCCTGGGGACGGACAACAGGATGCTCCTTCCTCCTTCCTCCTCCTCCTCCTCGTCTCTTCTCCTCTGGTTCTGACATCACCACGTCCGTATCATCCTGTGTTCATCAATGAGAGACTGGGATGCCTGAAGTGTAGCAAACAAAAAAAAAAGGCTGAATGATCTTTCGATGTGAATGGATTTCTGGGGAGCGAGTGGCGCCGCAGTCTGAGTTGTAATGTCGGAGCAGAGGAGAAACGGAGGAGAAAACCCCTGAAACATTTTCTCACTCCCACGGTGGAATCCGTAGCTTTTCTACGGCAGTGACATATCACAGAACTAATCTAGGTCCAGATAAGAGTTTCCAAGCTGGAGCTCAGGTTTTATTTGGGGTCATGTTTTGGAGGGCGGGGAGGAAGGGGGGGTGATGTTGGTGAAAAGTGGCACCTGCTGGTATTGTCCGATGCCTGGACTCTCCTTATCCTAGTGGAGGTCCTGTGTGTGTTGGCCGCACAAGGTGGAGGAGAAAGAAGAGCTGGAGGGGAAGTGGAGTTTAGTATTCCGCTCCGACTCCCAGACAAAAAGAAAAAAAAAAAGAGAGAAACTTTCTCATGTCTGTTTTCCTTCACACACCAACACTTTGACTCTGGGAGACGGAGCAGGAGAATCCTCTCAGGGTTATCTCAGTTCAACCTAAATGATGATTTGAAGCTGCTGCCCGGGAGTCCACCGTGGTTCTTTACAACACTAGAACTCACTGTAAAGAACACAAACACTGTCACCGGACCCAGAACCAGAATGAACGGGTGTGAAGAGTTTACAGACAGGAGCGGGGGGGCCAGGGGGGTGAGGTGGGGGCAGAGAGGAAAGCAAGAATGTGTGAGTGAGCGTGTATGTGTTACCATGGTGATGAGTCTCTGCCCTGCGTGAGAATGGAGGTCTTTTATTGGTTGCCATGCCAACCCTGTCAGCTGTTGATTGGTGTTGAGCTGGTGCCAGGTCAGAGGTCGTGGAGGTGTTTTTGTATCCTTTTCACCCCCAATCAATCTGTGTGTGTGTGTGTGTGTTCAGGGAGAGTGAGAACACACTTTTTCCACATCCCTGTTCTGCATCACATGTTCACCTTGTCAGCCATCATCGCTACAACTACAACTACAACGCAACATGAACGGTGCCATTCCTCTGTCTTTTCTCATTTATTCTCCAACTGTTTCTTTATCTCTCCTTAGGCAAGTTCAAGTTGTTGGATGAAGACCGGGACGTCAGGGATCCCGTCCAGTATTTCTCCAGTGTGGAAGAAGTTGCTGGAGTCTTCCCCGACAGAGTCTTCGTCATGGAGACCATTACTTTTAGTGTTAAGGTTCATTTCATCTTCGTAACCAGATATATCTGGTGTGTTCATGTTGGCCGCTGTAGTGATGGAGGACTGTGTCCGTCCGCTCGTGTGTGTGTGTGTTCTGCAGGTGGTGTCAGGAGAGTTCAGTGAAGACAGTGAGCCCTACAGCTTCACTCTGCAGGCTGGAGATGAGCTGTCGCTCATGGGGAAAGCGGAGCTTCTCTGTGCCACTCCCTCAAAGGAAAAAACAGGGCTAAGTGCCCTCCTGAGACGGCTGGGAAAGACTCCCAGAAGTGAGTAAGGCCAAACTCAGAGTTTCATGTTGACTTTTTTTTCTTTGCAGACAGACTTTCGTGGTTGTCTGCCTCTCGCCTTTTTGACCAATCTATTTTTTCTATCTTCTGCTGTTGAAGGTAAAACTCCCTGTTTGGTCTGCATGAACCATCGGACCAATCAGAGTGTCAGCCTGCCCTTTGGCTGCCGCGGTCGCTTTTGCACACGCTCCCCTCTTGAGCAAGGCATGCTGGGTGGGGAGCACACGGTACGCAGCATAATCGAGAGGGTGCGCCTCCCCGTCAACGTGTCCGTACCCTCAAGACCCCCTCGAAATCCCTACGACCGCCACGCTGTCCGGGAAGGCCATCGCTACAAGCTGCTCAACATCGTCAGCAAGACGGTGGTTCTGTGCATGGTGCTGCGTCAACAGGAAGTCTCCCCCTCCCACTTCCTGCTGCTGCGCTGCATGCCCAGGTTCAACGTGGCCGAGGCCTCCGTTCACACCGCGGCTCTGGAGAACCTGTTGATGAGACACGTGTTCGACCCGGACGGCTACTCTCGGGCCGTCAGAGAAACCCGACCGGAGCTGGAGTGTATAACGGAGGAGTGTGTGAGCCCACGCCGCTCACGGGTGTGCGTGTCGGGTCAGGACTCCATAGCGCCAGCGCTACAGCGGCTGTCCATGTGTGGGTACGGGGGCGGGGTTTCAGACAGCCTATCACAGCGCTGCAGGGACTCTTTTGGAGAGAGACTAGGGGAGGGCCCGGGTGAGGAGAGGGAGTACGTGACTCCAGAGTGGACTGAGAGTGAATTAAGGACCAGTGAGGAAATCCCTTACGAGGAACTCTGGACCAATCAGAACACAGAGAGCTTGGGGAAAGAACCAAACCTCATCACTTTCCATTCGTCTTCTTCATTGGACGGGACTCTGGGGACAGTGGTGACCAGAGTGTCCACGCCGCCGCCTGTACCTCCAAAATCTGATGCTGTGAGTGTCAGTCAGTGTCAGTCAGTATCACCTGTCCTGTCTGTCACGTCCGTCTCACTCCGACTCTCTGTGTCTGGTCCGTCCTCAGCAGCATCCGGTGGTTAAAAGTCAGGACGCCACGCATAAATGATTCATACATTACAGCTTTTAAACCTCACTTATACCCCCCACTCTCCCCCCACACACACAGGTTCAGATCTGTACACTGTGTCTCACTTGCAGTAATAACTTCCTACGTCATAAGTCAGGATTCAGATCTGTATAATTTTTTTTTTTTAATATTTGTCTGATTATTATTTAAATCCCAAAATTTTTAAATTTAAGCATTACAGCTCTGTGATTACATTCAAAACGTCAGCACATATGATTCATATTTCTTTATCTCCATCAGTTTTAAAGGAATGACAGTGTTTTAAATAAGCGTTTAGTGCAGTTTTGAAGCCCAGGATGTTGAAAATGTATCTGAGTTCTTGGTTTTGCTTCAGTTCCCTTCTTATATTTTAGTTTGAGCCATCTGTATTTTTAGAAGAGCATTAACTTGGTTTGTTGATTTAATGACTGTTTAAAAAAAGGGAGAGGGAGGGGGCTGCTGAATTATAGCCTTTCACACACTCTGTTCCACATTTACTGATATTTAACTTGTCAAGACTCTCTCTGCTGTGTGTGTGTGTGTGCCCTGCTCCTGTGTGAGAAAGTTTGTGAGTTAAGTTGAATGTAAATAAGTTAAAGAGTAACTCAGTGGATGTTATTATTGACCAATGGGAGCAAACATAAACACACATGCACATGTTCTACTCACTCATGTTCTCCTTGTAGGTAAGAGAGGAGTGTCGCTACTTGATTGCTCCTCCGGTTCCCCCTCGCTGCTCCAAAGGGGGCTCCATCTCCAGCCCCGCCCCCAGTCCTCCCGTTCCACCTCGTTTCCCCAAGACCTCCAACTCACCGAGACCCAACCTCTCCTTCTACTCCTCTGGACTTCAGGACAGGTATGGGGTGAAAGCTGTGTTGAAAATGAAAACATGTAGAAATTAGTCTTTGTTATGGTGTATAAGTCAAAGGATTCATTACAGGGTGGCTGTGAATGAATCATGATTAATCGTAAATGTAAATTTCCACAATTAATCCTGATTAATTGATGTGAATCAACATTCCTAAATATGACAAAAGATGAAAAAAAAGACTGATGTTTCAGTTCACGTGTTGACATTTGTCTCATTAGTCAGACAGAGTGTGTCCCACTGATGCCACTTCTCCTGCTCTGTCTCAGCTGCTCCCCCTCTCCAGACACCTCCTTGTACTGTTACCCCTGCTCCTGGGCCGACTGCCCCGCTCCCAACCCTGCCAGTTCGGAGCCGGCCTCTGCCGTTCCTGCAGACAGCACAGCCAACCCTCAGCCGGCGCAGGCTACCTGGGTGGAGCCGTGGACGGACTCCTTCACCTCCTCCTCGTCTTCCTCTGGACCTCGACTCAGGCCTCCTCCTCCTCAGAGTCGATTTGCCCCTTTTGGTGCGTTGAACCCCTTTAACCGCCAGTCTCCCTGCCCTTCCCCTGAGCCCACCACCAATCCGACGACGACAGATTCCTTCAGAGGCGCAGAGGGTGGTGGAACGTGTGTAGGGGTCAACGAAGGCCCGTCGGCGCCTCCTGACTCCTCCTGGAGGCCACCTGCGGACCTGTCCGCCCTGTCGTTGGAAGAGGTGTCGGCGTGCCTGCGGTTCATCGGCCTCTCCGAAGCGGCAGTGGCCATCTTTCAGAGGGAGCGGATCGACGGCAGCCTCCTGGTGCAGCTGACCGAGGACATCCTGTCACATGACTTCCACCTGAGCCGACTCCACGTCACCAAGATCACACAGTTCATACAGGGCTGGAGGCCCAAGATTTAACACTGAACACACACTCAGTCCTGATAATGTGCCTGTCGGCTGCTGAGCCTTCTCCGATGTGCCTTCCACTGTGACCAGCTGGCTGCTGAGCCCCACTCTGACTGACGCCGAGGTCAAACCACGCCACCCTGTGGTCAAGTCAAACTCTCTTACACTTGATTGGCCCTTGTGCCAAACGTTTTCTGACAGACTGACTGCATATTTTCTGTCTGAATCACAGACTGGGACTAGTTTACTAACAACTGGCAGCAGCAGAGGGCGTCAGGAGGAACCTGGGCCCCGCTTCCAGTTCGTGTTTTGGGGGGGGAAATAGTAAATCTTTATGCTACAATAAAAATGTGAGTGCTGCTCATGTTTGTCTGGCCGACATGCTGGAAAGTTTGAGGAAGAAACCACAGTCCCAGAAACGAACAAAACATTACTAATAATAATTTAAAAAAAAACAGATGAAGAGACTAATGGAACGGCTGTGACTTTTATAATCACATAATTGAAGCGTGAATTTATAGAAACATTTGGATTTTGCCAAAATAAAACTATGGATGGGAATTGTAATAAAAATGATTACATACATTTCCATTCAACTGATTTTGATTTTACAAAGTAATTTAATCTGCAAATATTTTCAAAAAATAAAATTTAAATTTGCTTTGCTCCCTAGATACCTGTCCATTCAGCATCCCTTAAAATTATATGTAATATATATATCTAAACATTAGAATTCTGGATAAATATTAGCAGATCTAAAATTACAAATGAATCAGTAACACATGGTACAGACAATTACTTCCAGGTAGAGTTTGAATCAAGACTGTACCGTTTGTCTTTGCTTAAAAAGCAGGTGATGATTAAAACTGTGTTTTTACACAGAGCTACCATCATCTCAGCCACGCTGGGAATTATTGTTAGTTTGTCTGATTTAGTCAGACAACTGTGAGCATGAAGGTCAAAACAAATTTGTTATTATCTCATACGATTTCTTTCTGATTGACAAAAACACTGCTGCTTCTGCTGCTTCCTGTCATCGTCTGAAATGATCCTTGTTAAATTCCATGCTCCCAAAATTCCCTGCTGCTGCCTGTTGATGGCAAATTCCTTTCATAATTTTTTTTTTGTTTGTGTTTGTTTTGTCTCCATTTTTGGTTTTGCTAAAAATGCACATTATTGTCATCCTTTGTGTGATCCTGCATCTGCAAGGCCACTGTAAGAACAGCAACGAAGAAAAGAATGAATGATGATATGAAATAAATAGAAATGAAATGAGGAAATTAATTTCTTTTTTTTTGCCTTGAGGAAAAATTGTGATATATTCCTTACAGTATGTACGATCATTTTATAAAATCTCACCGGTTTTCCTTAAGGACAGTCTCACGTCGAATTTCTAGAACAAAGATCTGCCACATGCTGATTTTACCCACAGGCTCCACCAGCTGGTGCACTTGTCCCATCTTCCTCCTCTTTATCAGCCCTGATGCTCCTGCCTGTCAGCATCATGTCAAATGCCACACGCATATACAGTACATACACACACCCACAGACAGAGAGAGGAAACTTCTCCCAATTAACTAAGTGAATATATGAATACATCACAGCAGGGAACAGGTGTAAGATTTACACATTCTTGAAGAATGTATCTCAAAAAAAGATTAATTTGAAATTTAAAGGGTTATAATTCATTAAAGAGATTCTGTTTTTCTTCACTGATCTCAGAGCACTGGACAGAACTCAAAATAAAAAGGATACCTGAAGACACACAACCTGAATTAACACCAACCAGGTGCAGTATTAGTCACGTGATCTCTGACACTGTGCACTGAGTGACAGATTGTCAATAAACATTTTGGTGGAGCCTCCATCACGCCCACCTCTAACTATAAAAAACACCCAACGGTGTTATCCTGTGGTTCTCAAACTAAGGATAGGCCCTCCAGTGGTGACATGAAGCCACTGCACAAGCCCTTAGATGACCAGGAGATGGATTTAAATAAAACGACTTCTATAGATGAATACACAAACAAGTGTTTAGTAATGATACTTGTTTTTTGTTTTTTTTCCTGGGGTAGGTTACTATGAAGTTTCTCCAGCGTCTGAGGGGAGCTGGTGGGTGGAAGAGGGGGGGCGTGCCAGAAAAAAGTTAGAGAAGTGTGATATCCAGAGTGAGAGAATTGCACACACACTGATTAATCATGTCATCTGTCAGTGAAGGACTGAGACAGAGACAGGCAGTCAGGACTGTCACACACACCGTCTTCCTCACTGACATGTATGCACTGTCTCACACACTCCACACACACACACACCCACCCACCAACACTAACACTCCTGAGCTGCTATATCATTGAGTCGTATAACTGCCACATCATCCCTGAGCTGGTGGCTGACGTGTGCTGGAGCTTGATGGAGGCAGACCGTCAGACAGAGGGCTACCAGTGTAGTATTATGTTAATTTTCTGCAAGTTTAACGCCGTCCCTGGAGAGTGAAGCATAAATAGCATGAGTGCACTCAAACGGCGTCCTTACTCAAGGACACTTACTGCGTAGGCACAGTGAGAACTGCGGGAAATCGGAAGGATCCATAAACCAACCTGTCGGTGAATGATGAGCATAGATGAAAAGTCTTTTTTTTTTTTTTTTTAACTCTAAGAGTAGCCAAACTGCAAGCCCCAAACTGTGTGGACAGAAAGCTAAAAATCTAGACAGCGAGGTGTCAAACTGCTGGAGGCGGCTCTTTACTGTATAATTATGCACTTTTTTTTGACAAATTCAAAAAGTTCACAAGTATAGTCTTATTTGTTGCATGCAGCTACGGGTGAGAACGATGTATGTTTATACCTGGTTATTATAAGACCAAGTTCAGTCGACATGTGGTTTGTGTATCAAACACAAGCTAAAATTATGCTCTGCAATTGCAATTGTTATGTTTTTTTATCCATTGGTCAAACCCAATGTGTATCGTTTGTTTTTATGTACGTAAAAAAAGTTTGTAACAGGTTCAGATTTACAATATACCAAGACAATAGACTGGGTCACATAGTGGCCACAAAGAAGTTGTTTTAGTCACGGCCCTGAAGATGATCTGAACAATCTGTGGTTCCATCAACAGTTTGTATGTTATTTCTCTCTCTCTCTCTGTTTTTGTGTGTGTGTGTTTCCTCCCACAGTCATACACTCCAAACTGACCAGTGTGTGCGCGTGAGTCTTGTTTTTGACCTTGCAACAGCACAGACTAGAGAACAGTCCAGAGTGTATCCTGCCTTCGCCCCAATGATCACTGGGATTGGCACCAGCTCCACCATGACACTGAAAAGGAGAAGGCAGTAGAAGATTGGACGACTGAACTCAACTCATGAATCAGGTACTGTTAATAATATCCCTCACACAGAGGGATTCCATATATATGGGTGAATACTCATGTCTGTATGGTAGTAAGATTTTATTTACAAAACTATTTCTTGTTGTCAAATCCAACAAAACCTTTGGGAATGATTGTTTCAAGTTTAATTTCAATATGGTGGAAACCTTTGGAGAGTCCCTTGTTGAGTGTTACTTGTACATTGCAGTAACTGTGTTGTCTCAGTTAGGTTGGCCTAATAAATCATCTGCATCATAACACGGTAATTCAGTCAAACCATGTTTGTATTTAATCCAATGCTGCCTTTTTGGGTACAACAACATAGACCAAAGAAAAATGAGGTAAAACTTGAATGGATGGTGATGCCCACGAGGTTAAATTATTCTAATTATTTTAATTAAGTCCCAGTCTAAGGGGGGGTCCTGGGTCTCAGGGTCTCTGGAGGAGCCTCCTCAGCTCTGAAGCCTCTGCTGTCATCTCCTCCTCTGATCTCCACTTGGCCGGAGCATCTTCATCTTCTCGGTCATGTTTCTGCAGCTCATCGTAGACGCTGTCGTTCCGCTCAAAGTCGTCCTTCTTCCTGGGCAGCACGTGAACGTGGACGTGCTTCACGGTCTGTCCAGCTTCCGGACCGTCTTGAACCGCGATGGTGAGGGACGTGGCCTGGAAGTGCTTCTCCACCAGGTTGGCAACGATCTGAGTGGTGCTGAACAAATCCGCTACTTCGTCTGCACGCAGGTCCCTAAACCGCTCCACCGGCCGCAGGGGACACACCAACACGTGTCCGGGCACAACGGGTTTCCTATTGACCAGCGCAAAAGACAGTTCCGTCCGCAGGAACACCGCTGAGGTTTTGATTAAATGTTGGCCAAAGCGTAGGGTCGACATGTTAACTAACCATCAACTGACGATTCAAACTACCTAATAATGAGACAGGATGTTGTGATAACCAGCGATGTCCATTGGAGGAACAGACGGCTTCGTTTGTTTTCCTCCTCTGAGGTCCCGCCTCTCTCCGGCTTCTGATCTGTTCATTAATATACTTCCGCATTTTTGTCCCATAATTTAGAATTATTAAAATGCTTTTGTATAATTTGGCAGTTTGTATGTAATGATCTCTGTAAGTGTTGTTGCATTTAAAATCGAATAATAAAAAATAAAAAAACTGGGCCGCCTTTGTTTTGCTGTATTATATAACGACTTCATTAATTATGTTTTTATATTACTATAATGTAAATTACTATAATATATATAATGTTTTAACCCTAAAACTGTTGTGTTATTACAACCGATCATTTACAGGCATTAGTTTGGGCACCTAAATAATCTAAAGGTCCTTCCAAGTGTTCATGATTTTGTAGTCCGGCAGCTCTGAACAGTGTGGCTCGTCCTTTGACAGGGAGCTAGTATCGACAAAGGCTAAACACAAGCACGGGTAAGTGTTACGTCTTCCATGTGCTCAGAAAATTAAATGCAAATAATGAAAAATTGTGTTGATCTTTTTTAAAAATACGTCTGTTTTGTCATTACTTGTATCCTCACGAACACTGAATGGAACAGTAGCATAGTAGTAGCTAGCTTGCTTAGCATATATATGCGCTCTCACATTTTACTTGTTGTTGTTAAAAAGTGTATATATATATATATATATATATATATATTTAATTTAAAATTGACATTTTAACGGTTTATGCCTTTGTCTATTTAAATAAAAAGACTTGACCTAGATTGAGTTGCGTACTGTCTGTTTCTACCCCAGTGGTCTGTGAATGTAGGTGAAGGGTCAAGCGGGTGTATAGAGGTTGGGTTGTGTGACCGACAAGTTATAAATGCCGCACAACTAAAAAGTGTCTCACCATTGAATTTTCCTACTGTATTCTTAAAGAACAACAGCTAAATGCACACGGTCACGTTATACCCCACTAATAATGTGCATTCATGCTAACAGGGAGAGTTACAGTACGTGAATCACCGGCTGCTAATACAAACAAAAGTACAGACTAATTATTTCTCTTTTGTTAAATTCCTTTTTTTCTTTTTTTAAAAGAACATTATGGCTGCCCTGATGCTGATGCTGAAGTCTTTGCGGAGCTGCTCCGTCGGCCCTTCCCGGGCACTGCAGTTTGGTAAGTTGTCTCTGTCTACATTATTCATTTGTTGATTTTATGTTGTAATTATTATTTTTTTTAATCTTGGTGTATCAGGGACGAGAGCTCTGAGTTCAACAGCCCACCTTCAGGCTCAGGGTAGGTCATCACCAGTCACGTTAATATAAGTTTAACATCATTTTTTTGTTATTCTTCTGACTCAACTAACCTCTGATTTTTGTTTGTCTTCTCCTTTCAGTTCAGACAAAGAGTAAGAAGACTCTGGCCCGACCCGGTATGAAGAACATAGTTCTGGTAGAGGGAGTTCGAACCCCTTTCCTACTGTCTGGAACCACGTACGTTTATGTTCTGGGTTTCCTGTCTTTTCGTGTCTAGTTGCGAACACAAATCTAGACTGACTGGAGTATTATTTCCACAGCCTCCTGCCATTAAATGTATGATTAACTTTTTGTGCTCCATGTTTTACAGATATGCTGAACTGATGCCTCACGACCTGGCCAGAGCAGCTCTGCAGTAAGTTACTAGATCTGTTAGATTTGAAATTTACCCAGTTGTTGTGAATGACTAAATGAAAATATTTGACTTTTTTTTTTCCTAGGGGACTGTTGAACAGGACGGGTATTCCCAAAGACTCTGTAGATTACATCATCTATGGAACCGTCATCCAGGAGGTCAAAACCAGCAATGTAGCAAGAGAGGTAGCAACACACAGTTTTACTTTGGACCAGTATTCTGAAACTGAACCAGTGTCTAGAATCACAGTTCTTGTGACAAAGATGTCCTTAGTGAATCTCACTTACTTTGCTGTGACTTCAGGCAGCACTTAACAATTCTTGTGACAAAGATGTCTTTCGTGAATCTCTCTTACTTTGCTGTGACTTCAGGCAGCACTTGGTGCAGGCTTCTCTGACAAGATCCCGGCTCACACCGTCACCATGGCCTGCATCTCCTCCAACCAGGCAATGACGTCAGGTCTGTCCAAAAAAAAAAGTTTAGTCGTTTTACCGATATATATATATAATGATAAATTAATGTTTCTTCTTCCTCTTCCAGCTGTCGGTCTGATAGCTGCAGGTCAGTGTGACGCTGTTGTAGCAGGAGGGGTGGAGTTTATGTCTGACGTTCCCATCCGCCACAGCCGTAAGATGAGGAAAATCATGCTGGCCCTCAACAGAGCAAAGACCCTGGGACAGAGGCTCAGTTTGATCGGCAGCATCAGAATGGCCCACCTCGCCCCAGAGGTTCTCACAGGTTTTTTCTACTTCATTCTTACGTTACTGTCATTATCAGCTTCACTGACCTTTTGTGACCCCGGTGCAGCTTCCTGCCGTGGCTGAGTTCTCCACCTCCGAAACCATGGGACACAGTGCCGACCGTCTGGCTGCTGCTTTCGGGGTCTCCAGGTTGGAGCAGGATGAGTTTGCTCTGCGGTCACATTCATTGGCTAAAAAAGCCCAGGATGAAGGTCTGCTGCAGGACGTCATCTCTTTCAAAGTGCCCGGTAAAGACCCCCGGAACTGGACACATTTAGTTGACCATGGAGAATGTTTACTGTCATGTTCAAGGGCTTGAAATAAATGCTGTAGATTTGACAAAATGCTGGGACTTTTATATAAGACTAAAGGTTAGGAACAGACTAGGTCAAAAAAGGCCAATAAATTGCTAAACGTTATAAACGCCATAACTGTAGCAAAAATATATGCTCAACACAAAGTATTGTTGTACCTGACGATTGGATGGATTTTTCCAGGTCGTGACATCGTGTCCAAGGACAACGGCATCCGTCCGTCCTCCATGGAACAAATGTCCAAACTGAGACCTGCCTTTGTTAAACCTCACGGCACAGTCACTGCTGCCAACTCCTCCTTCCTGGTGAGTGCACACAAATACACAAAGCAAACCATCAAGACAATGACATGACATTACATTAAACATGACTCGTGTTTTTTGTACGTGTCCTCAGACCGACGGTGCCTCTGCTGTGCTGATCATGTCTGAAGAGAAAGCCTTGGCGATGGGTTTTAAGCCCAAAGCCTACCTCAGGTGACCTCACCCGTTATGTTTGCTGTAAACATTTTGAATTGACCTCAGTGACACCTCTCCTAAAAATTCATATGACATTTTTATCCTGGCAGAGATTTTGTCTACGTGTCCCAGGACCCTAAAGATCAACTGCTTTTAGGGTGAATTTAATTTATTTTTTTCTCACTTTCAACTGTATGCGTACATTTACTATAAATCAGCATTAGATGCTGATAAAAGCACAACATTTATTAATATTTTTTTTTACTGTTTCAGACCAACATACGGCACACCCAAAGCCCTGGAACGTGCTGGCTTGACCTTGAATGACATTGATGTTTTTGAGTTCCATGAGGCGTTTGCAGTAAGTCCATATACAAGGTTTGGTCTGTGTGTTAGCCACCGTCGGTGTGGATTAAACACACACTCAGCCTAAAGACTTTTTAAGTTTCAGGTCTTTAAACATCGTTTTGACTGTTTTACATCTTAGAAACTGATTATATTTATGTACATCTCTGTGACCCTCAGGGTCAGATCATGGCAAATCTGAAGGCCATGGACTCAGACTGGTTCGCCCAGACGTATATGGGAAGAAAAACGAAGGTTGGAGTTCCTCCTATGGAGAAGTTCAACCTGTGGGGGGGCTCTTTGTCCCTGGGTCACCCGTTCGGTGCCACAGGCTGCAGGTTGGTCACCACAGTGGCCCACAGGCTGCAGAAGGAGGGAGGACAGTACGGACTGGTGGCAGCTTGTGCTGCTGGAGGACAGGTAAGGAAAGGTGTCATAAATCGGGAACATAAATCGTCTTTGTCACCCTAACCTGCTTGTCTTGTGTTTTCCTCAGGGTCACGCCATGGTGATCGAGGCGTATCCACAGTAACACACTCCACCTGACGTCTGTTAAACTAATTCAGAACTTTTATCAAGACAACTGACCACACACACTGACATCTAAACAGTGTAAATACAGCTCTGGCGCCACCTGGCTTTGTTCTCACTCTGTTAGTGACTGTTTGTACTGAAGCCTGTGTAAATGAAAACGTGGCTAAGAGGAGTTTTCTTTTGTTATTATAGCAGGAAGCTGCTGAGAAAAATTGTTTGCCTTTAATAATGGCTTTTCGAGGTTGTTCTTGTTCAAATGTAACATAGCAAAGTTTAATAAAGCCACAGTGCTAATGTTTATATACACTGTGATATTTGTTTTTCTTACAAACTGTGGACAATAAAAAAAGTGATTAAAACAAATGTCTCTACCACAGGCAAAGATGATTGACAAGTGTGGAATATATGAAAATAAACAATCAGAAAAGAAAAAGGTTTTAAAAAATAGCTGAAAGTTTTTAACCTTAGAATGTGTATCACTTTATTAGCAAACTATTAGCTTTGTTAGCTAAAGCTACACACCCTAAATTCAGCATTTGCTATTCTACTTCTTTTGACCTAAAAACTGTCAGTCTGGGTTTTGACAAGTAATGCACTTAAAGTCGCAAAGATGAAATACACGTGCTGTTTTTTTTAGTATACAATAAAACATTAAAGGACAATACTAATCTTTTGAAGTCTTTTTCAGCATCTTTGCCCAAAAATGATCGACTGTTCTGAGCTGACAGAGGCCCTTGATGTACGGACAACAGCAGATGGAGACGAGCGGCATTTGGTTTAATTCAGCAGGGATTGAAACCATGGCAGGGAAGAAGATCAATGTATAGAAAGCTTTTGTGCTGCTGACAACAACAACAGTGAACCTACAGAGAAACAGGGATGGGGGCTGGGCTTCATTTTTTTTAAATGATTTCCAAATTTGCATCACCAATCTTTTTCTTTTTCATTACTTTTTTTTAACAACATATTTGCATAGGGTCCCTGCATCATGCCGGCTTTCAGTTTCCCTTGCAATTAATTGATGCTGACTGATGCAGCCTGCCTCTGACAACAGCCCTGATGTTAATGAGGAGGTAAAGAGGGGATGTTTGGGCTTCCCAGTGTTTTAAAAGCAGCATGAATATTTAAATTTAGCAACGTGACTGGCAGACGACTTGAAAGTTCAGGTTGCAGCCTTACCTTCTCAATAATAGGTGGGAGGAGGTTTTATTTTGGCAAAAAAACACAAACTTGTACAGAGGCATTAAAAGTGCATTTGACTGCATGAAAAACACTTTTAGATATATGGTAGTGTGCCCCCCCCAACACAATATATTTAGTGTATAGAAATGCTCTAGACATATATCCCTAAAATATCTTAGTTTTCTGTGCCTTAACAGTCAGATCATGCTACAGTGTTTCTAGAAAATGTATCCAAAATGTAAAATAAATAAAACGTGCGTGCACAAGAACGGCCAGAAAGTTGAAAAACAGAATAACAGCTACCTTAGATAAAGATAAATTCTTAAACGTAGGCCAGAATGAGCTAACAGTTAGCCTAAGACCCAGTTCATACAGAGCTAAAGACCATCAGAAAACAGACCACCACTGTCCCCTGGTCTGCGGTGTCTTTAATGTCCACACAGACCACCTCAGATTGTCTCCATATCCTAAAAAAAAACCCATGTTTACATGAGAAATGTTCCTTCAGAGGAAACTAAACTGCACACACACACTCACACACACCCTCTGACTTTGAGGGCTTGTTAACGTTGCTTCAACCAAACGCTATAACATTTTAAAAATGTATTTGAACATTTAGTTCTTCCAGTTGAAGAAATCCTCGACTCTGAGCAGCAGGGAGTAGATTAATGCAGTCGGCTCTGTGACACACACACACACACTCACACACACGTGCAGCTGCAGGCACGGGAGTAAAAACCAATGTTTTACCGCCAAGGCAAAACGCAGCTCAAATGTAAATAGCAGGCAGAGGGAGTGTGTATAAGTGAGAGAGAGAGAGAGAGGGAGAGGAGGAGAGGGTTTTGTGTTTTTTTTTTTTTAACTGCTTCAAACTCGTCTCAACCCTGTGAGACACCGGAGACGCGCAGACACATGCAGACAGAGCGGGCCGCCTCCACGCTGCTCCCTCTGCCTCAGCGGGTCTTTGATCAGACGGAACCTTTTATGGGGAATGACTGGCGAATGCACCCGCTGCTGTCATGACAAATCTACCTCAGCGAGAGAGTGGGGAGGTGGAGGTGGAGGAAATAGGGGGGAAATGTAGGGGGCGAGGGAGGTGAGGGAGGGTCTTTCATCTCCTCCTATGGTGGGTTCACATGGGCGGCACCTGCTGAAAGGCTGCACTTGACTCCTGCTTGCGTTACCTTCCACCTGCTCTGAGCTCAGTGTGCCACAGAGTGATGAGGGTTCACAAAGGAGCGCACAACAGTTTACTAACAGAGATCCGATGTGATGATTTGGATTGAAAAAAAAAACAAAAAAAAAACTTGGATATAAAATATAGCTTTGAGTATGCCGTTAAAACAAAAAGTATAGACAAGGTCAAAAAGGGCAACGCTCAAAAAGTATGAGCCATAAAAGCATGAGTGAGTCAGGAGCGGCAGAAAAGTACTTAAGGATGGTGCAGTTTATCTTTGCAGGTACTGTTGAGACAGAGTAAAGGCTGCCTGTTTCAGAGTCATCAGCCTGGAAAACAACGACGGGAAAATGTCGAAAACGACCCCTGCATTGACCAGTGGCCCTAGGGTCAAAGTTTGGACACGCCTCAGCACGAAAAAATATATCAACACACCTTCGTTCAGCATCGTCACACTCTGCTGTGCTGTGAGCGTCCCTGCAGGAACCACATCACCGGACATCACATTCCGTACACACTTAACTCCCTAACAGGAGCGGCCAGCTCTGAGCTTGTTTTGATCAGGGCCCTGCTGTGGTTATGAAGCTGGAGTTTGGTTGTATTCTGTGTGAAAGAGCAACACAAACACACACACAGACACACAGACAAACAAGCCTCTCGGCTGTACAGCGGCCGTACACAGGTGGACGGCTGTGGAGCAAGTGGATTACGAGGAACGGTAATTGGCCGTCCAGAGAAGCTGCCCCGATGTATCTGTGTTTGTGTGTCTGTTCTGGGCTTTGCGACTGTGTGAGCTCATGTAAGTGTGTGTGTGTGTGTGTGAGAGCGAGTGTGTGTTCTGTCCAGAGTTCATCATGTTCTCATAACGGTCAGTTAGGCCTGTCCGCCAGGCTCCATCTCCTGCTGGGATTGTAAATGTTATTGATCAGACACAAACGCAGCATCTATAACGAGAGCTGAGACACACACACACACACACACACACACACACACTGGAGTACAAGTCATTAGGAGCCATACACATTCATAGACCTTTCCTCATTAACACTCCCTCGTCACACACACTAAACATCCATACACACACACACACACACAGACTGATATGAGTGTGATAAGGAACAGTGAAGGATGGACATGAACGGTGTGTTTGTGACCACACATGTGTGTGTGTGTGTGTGACTGCAGCAGCCGTGTGTATCCCTTCCACGGTGTTTGTGTGCATCTCTCTCTCTCTCTCTCTGTGTGTGTGTGTGTGTGTGTGTATGGCTCGTGTCAGAGTCTGTCAGCCCTGGCGTCTCGTGTCAGGGCGAGAGGCGAGACATTAACGACTTCTGTCATTCTGCTGACAAAATGGTGGCAGGAGATTTCCCATGGTGCCCTGATGACTGCTGGCGTTTGTCAACAAGCCCTGTCACAGCAGTGGTGAGGGGGAGGGGGGGACGGAGGTGGCGGTGGTGGGTTAGTGACAGGCCTGGACCCATTCCCATGAGCACCAGGGAAAAAGAGAGCAGAAATCATACGTGTGTGTGTTGGATGGGAGGAGAGAGAGAGAGAGAGTGGGAGAGGTGGGGGGCGGGGGGGAAAGGTTGTCTCTCAGCAGCTTTTATACACAGGCCTTGGAAAAAAAAAAATCCAAAATGAGCTGTCACTGCAATTCCCAGGATGCCTTGCTGTTTAGCATAGCAGCAGCAGCAGCAGCAGCAGCAGCAGCATGGACTGTGTGTGAATGTAAGTGTGTGTGGGCCTGTAAGTGGATGAGCTCTCTCTCTGCCTCCCTCCCTCTCCCATAGTCTCTCTCTCTCCCTCTCTCTCTTACACACACACACACACAGATAATTAAGCAGAGCAGAAGCTCCCCCTGACGCGAGGCAGAGCTCATCTGCATTTTGGCCTCCGGCACGCAGTTAGGAGCATCGCCCGATGGAGGGAGAAGGAGAGAGAGAGAGAGAGAGAGAGAGAGAAGGCAGAAGAGGCAGGGAGGGAGGACAAGGATAAGGGAGGGGAGAGAGAGACTGAGAGAGAGACTGAG